TTCACAGTTTTTTGAAAGAAGCATCCAGCTCATCATAATATACCTTGAAGGTAGTAACGGGCTTGACAAATTCACCATCAAGAACACTTCCCTTACTAGACCAAGGAATAGAAAGCCCTTTTAAGTTTCTTCTTGATAAATATAATGCATATGTCCAACTTCTTCAAATTCAAGACACTAAATGCCTTAACTTGGATTGGCATTTTCATCTGTTCCAACTTATCTTTGAGCAACAAGGTTCTTGATGATGCTAGGACTGATGTTCTTGACATTTAGCCTTGATCTTCTATCCATTTTCCTTAGAACCTGGATGAATAGCCTCTAAAAACAATGAATAAACCCTTCATCAGAAACTAGGTCACAAATTCCTTAAAATTTGGAGACAACATCCATGCTCTTGTTCTTATATTCAGATATGTTAATCTATACTGTTGAGGACTTGATCTTCTTCAATGGTTGTCACTTTCATGTCAAAGACCTCGGTATCTACCTAACCAGGTGTGCCTTCATGAGAGGTCTTGAGAAATTCCTAAGCATCTTTTGACCATAGCACATGTGTTTAGCAATCTGAACCTATTTTTATCAACTCCATTGAATATGGCATTCAAAGCTTTAGAGTTAACAAGAGCCAATACAAACTCTTTCCTTCTATACCCTTAGCACCAGGATTCGCCCAACCTAACAAATTTCTAAGTTTTGTTGTCCATTGATTTCAAGAATGCTAACATTCTATCCTTCCAAAAGACATATAGTACCATAAAAATTATCCCTGAAGCTCACCCAGTAAACAGACCAACGTGCCTGCTCTGATACCAATTGAAATTCTGAACTTTAAAATATGTTAATACTGGTGTCCCAACACCTTAACATAATGTCAAGACAGATGTTGTGACATCTGTTGACAGACAAAACTTAATATATCAAAATTGTAACTTATGCAGAAATAAATGCAGAATGATAAATAACAATGCTGATTGTTAACCCAGTTCGGCGCAATGTCACCTACTCTGAGGGTTACCAAGCCAGGAAGAAAATTCACTATGACAACATTAGTTCAAAGCCTAAACAATCTCAGTTTACAACTTCTCGCCTAATCACTACCTTGTATAACTTCTACCTATAAATCTTCTAGATATGAGATTACCCTCTCACTTCCTACCAATCACCTATGTGATTAACTACTGTCACAAACAAGTGACTAGAATCAAAACCAGAAGATTACACTTCCAATAAAAAATACTCAGTTTTGCTTAAAAGCTTTTACTGAGAACAATGAACAATACTCAACTTTATGCTTAAAAGCTTCAAGAGTGAGAACAATAACTTGATAAACAATCAAGTAACAATCAATCTACCTTACTGTAACAAAAGATACATGGGTGACTTACAAAAACACAAGAGACTCTCAAAACCTAAGACTTTAGACTTCCCCTAATTTTACAATTGTGAAAGTTTAATTACATTAGGTTTAGGTTTCTCTTTAAATACACCTCAGTAGTCCATGGGCTTCAAAATGTTCACCCGGATTTTTTTGATCCACAAGTTGAGGGTTGCACCAATTATGTAGAAAAATCTCCTTAAATCTTGGAACAAAACATCAAGTTTCCTAAATTGTCTCAACATCCAATTTTAGAAACTTATGTACAGCTGAAGACCAAATCAGTTGTTACAAATTAAATCTTCTTGACCAACTCCATCTACTCATTGCATTCAACATCAGAGCACTCTACAATCGCACCAATACATTTAAGCTTAAGTCTTTCATTTAAATTATTTTTATTTTTATTAATGTATTAGCTCAAATGTACTAGTTTTAATGCATTGTATAGCTTAAATAGGTTATTATACATGTTTGGAGACTTTGTTTATACAATTTAGATGAGTTTGGTTGGGTTTGGATAAGCTAGAGCAGTTGTAGAAATGGTTCTACCATTGAATTTCAAAGTTTTTTTCTTTTGATATGCATATCCGTACTGTTTTGTTCCAGCTTTTCAGATATGCATATCCGAACATGTTCCTTCCTCTTATTTTTGTTATATTTTTTCTCAGGATGGCTAGAAATAAGAAAGGTTGAGACTTGGGAGACCCGCAAAATTCTTTGCTCGTAATGAGAGGGCTCGTCAGCACGAGCAGGCTAGAGTCTGCCCCCTCAGCCTCACGATAGGGAGGCGTCAGACTCTAGGAGTAGTCGACTAACATAGGGATCGGAATCGTAAATTAGTCCACACCATGATGATAATGCCCAAGTTACCCATGTTGCACCCCAGGTTCGGCTTGCAGAGGATGCCCCCTTGCAGACCTATTTTCAGGAGGGCCCATAGACATGTCTTTACTCATATACTTTGGAGAGCATGTGGCTCCGCATGTCTGGGAATGAGAGGTAAATTTATGAACTTCCTCTATTTTTTATTTTTTATCCAAATTTAACTCAACTAATCATGTTATATTTTATTTTCAACGGGAGCGTGATTGTATCAAAAGTGTGAATCATGCAAGAAAGGCTCACAATTTTTACCAGCCCGAGGTAGCTTGGGTCTAAAATGTACTCCAGAACTCTGGGCTAGCCAGTCTTTGTGCTACAGGGTACACCAACATCATCCATGGCATGCAAGCTGCATTTGCTGAGAGGTGACACGATGAGACCTCGTCTTTCCATATGTCCGTTGGTGAGATGACTATTACACTAGACGATGTAGCATGCCTTCTACACCTTCCTATCAAAAGAATGTTGCTTGATCATTCTAAGACCAGCAGGGCTGAGGCACAGTAGATGATGGATGTTTATTTGGGAGTTGGCCCTGCCGAAGCCTTTGACCAGTGTTGAAGCACCACATGTGCACATGCCAAGTTGGCTTGGTTGTCGGACTTGTATGACAAAAATTTAGAGATAACTGATTATCCAGACGTTGATGATCTTTGGGTTACCTACTACAGGGAGTGTGCCCTGAGATACTACTTCATATTCTTGGTTGACACGTCCATGTTTGTGGATAAAAGTAAAAATTATGTGGATGTGGCCTACCTCAAATATTTCATCGACTTGGAGACCATTGTCGAGTGGAATTGGCGGGCAGTATCCTTAGTTTACCTGTACTCCAACCTGAACGAAGGTTGCAAATGGACGACGAAGCAAATGACAGGCTAATGCACCCTGCTTATGGTAATTTCCAAATTCTACTATTAATTTACAAACTAATATTTGTTTTCACAATTAATACTAATACTTTTTTCTTATTGGCTTTCAGGGATGTATCCTTGCTCATTATCACCGCATCCACGGGTTTAATCGTGACGCATTATATACTCATGATTGGCCATATGCTTGTCGGTCTATCAATAGCAGAGGGAACGATCATATCTTATTGTACCGTGTGTATACCGATTGGAATTAACATGATGATATAAGATGAAGGTCATACGGTGCTCACCGGGACAGAGTTCCATTCAATCATATTTCCTTATACTCTGGATGGTTGGCATGTGGGACCAATATCACGTGCATGTATTTTCCTGAGCGATGCATGCGGCAGTTTGGGTACGTCTAGATTATTTTGAGGTCCCCTTTGCAGGCTGCTCTAATCACTATTGTGTGCAAACACCTAGATGACATTCTGGCAGATTTTTTAGAGTCGTCTGATACCGGAGGAGTATCGGAGTCAGGCAGTCACATCTGAGTGGTATTATATGGTGGGTTACATAACATGGTTCTACATGGTATCACACCCTTACATGACACAGGACGCTCATGGACGTCCACCTAGGCCTGATCATATCTTACATAGGCAGAGGAGGAACCAGAGTGTTAGGATTAGACATACAAAATAGAGTATGCATTTGATTGTATTTTGTTTAATTTTAATCAACCTTCAAAATAATTGTTGTATTAATATATTTGGTTTCTATAATATTCGGTTTATTAGAGCTTTATGTGGTTCTATAATATTTGGTTTTATTAATCATTGAAACAAATAATGACAATTTTAATCAAACTAAAATTAGTTTTGATTGAAAACACTACAATAATAGAAAACTGATTCTGGAAAAATTATACAGGAAACAATTCAGAGACGTATCTCTGAACTTTAAGGCGAAAGGTGACTTCAGACATGTATCTCCGAATTTACCCTAGAGGTGTATTCGGAGAGGCATCTCCGAATTTAACCTAGAGGTGTATTCGGAGAGACATCTCCAAACTAAACTTTACTTAAAAATAGTACTTAGTGCATTCGTAGATGCATCTCCAAATTTACCCAAAAATATTTTGAATTTTCAATAATGCATTTCATATAACAACGGTGTGATGAGAAGTTGTCCAATATAATAGTTAACCATAAGATCCAAATTGGATGTAACTATAATATCCATGTAGAGATGCCTATAGATCCTACTCAGGTTTATAGAATTTTTCTCTTTAATATTGAACACACTAGTAAAATTTATCGATAAATTATGTTCATCAACTTCATTCTTAATTGATTTAATTAAATTAAATATATTATTAATAAATAATAATTAGATAAATATATGTGACAATAGAAGAATTAATGAATATGATCGTCTTCTCTTATTAAAAATAGTACTTTGGTAAGACCTCTTGACTCTTGTTACTCTTGCATCGATAAGGTTGTCCATATATATATATATAATCCTCGTAGGCAATAAAGTGAATGGTTATGAATGACAGAAAGTTAACGCGTAAAGGCCAACTTTTGATATAATAGAACATGCAAATCACATAAACATTTTGTCGTTAAAAAAATGTTGTTAACATCAATATTAATATAGCATGTTACAAACTCATCATCGTCCTCATCCACAATAGAAGGGAACAAAAATTCCAACCAAAAAGGGAAGACATTTAGTTGTTTTTTTTCTTTCAAAAAAGAAGGAAAAACAGGTTGTAGAGGTGTAAAAGCCAAACAAGAGATTTAGAGAGAGACAAAAAGAGAAAAATAGAGAAAAGGGAAAGAAATTGAGAACAAGAGAGGGAGAAAGAAAAAATGGGGTTATGCTTTGGTTGCTTCGACGGAGGCAACAAGCGTATGACAAAGGAGGAAGAGAGATTAGCCTCTGAAGAAGCACGTGCTAGAGCCGCCGAAGCCGCCCAGAAAAAGTATCTTATCCTTCATTTTCTTCTTCTTCTTCTTGTTTCTTCATTCTTTTTCATTAACATTGGATTCGTTCATGTACATTTTTTATGAAATAATAATAGGGTTCTTAATTGGAAACCCACCCACGAGGTATTATAAAACCTTGATCATCATATTTACATGCAGAAATTGATCAATTGTTACCAAGTTGATATATGCAATACGTTAATATTTTTATTTTGTTATATAAATGTTTACATATATTCCAACTTATGGATATTGACATGCATATATTATTATGAGATGCTTGTGAAAGAACACGTACAAGAAAATATGCAAAACCCTTACAAATTAAATGACGCATAACTAATACATAAAATTGTTGATATGGGACGAACCTTATAGGAAAATTGATTTAATTAATTATGATGAATTTTTTGATGTATTATAGTAAATTTATGTGTTTGTTGTAATTATTGAAGGCAAGAACAACAAGAAGATGTAAAACAACCTGCGGAAAAGCAACCTGAAAATTCAAACAATGGAGAACCGATTGTAAAAGTTTAGCAATTCAAAGGGACCACTTAGTATTTGGCAAGTATATTTTGGTTAAATCATGCAATTTATTATTATTATTATTATTATTATTATTATTATTATTATTATTATTATTATTATTATTATTATTTAAAACATGTTCATTAATTTATTTAACCACAACAATGTTTATTGTTTTGACCTTATAATTTTTTGATGCAGAGACAGATGGGTTGAAGCTAGACAATTTATCTGTCCGAGTGAATTGTTTATTACGTGTAAGGTGAATGATCTCTCTAATAAATCAGTTAAAAAATGTCTACCTTATTTTGTGCACAATGAAAATATCATTTGAGTTTGATTTTTTTCTTTGTATGTTGTGTTGCAGTTCTAAGAATGTATAGGTGCACCAGTGAAATTCTCTACCGCCAACTTTCCTTGTTCCAAGGATGAAGAATCAAAGGTCTTTACTAGAATTGTACAATATGTCAAATTTGTTGTTTAATAGACCAGTAATTATTGTGTTTCATTAAAAAATGGTGTTGTAAAAGAAACGAGGATAAGTTTGAGAATGTAGTTTGGTGCTTTTATTTCATGTGTTGATTGATATTCAAGCATAATTCATTTTCATACAACAAATTGAAACCATATATGAACAACAATGTTATGAGCTAGCCTCATTTGAGAATAATATGTTTAAATAAGATAATTCCACCTGATCCAACCATAATGTTTTTACTAGTATCTTTTGACAACCTTATGCCTTTCAGCAAGCAATTGGCAATTCTCAGTAAATTCTTGTAGGCTTAAGCTAAAATCAATTTTAAATAGACGAAAGACAATAATACCATGAATATTATCCAATATTCGTCTAATGTTCACCTCTAGAGTATTCAAAAACTCTAGGGTTATTTGCGCATAAGTTGGTTTAGCGAGGTAAAATAGCTCAAATCTATATTTACAAATCTTTCAATATCATCTTTAATTCCTAGAGTAGTAAAAGTGTTTTCGTCAACAAACCTTGTCAGAGTAATTATCTGTTTGGCGAGAACTTCATATCTTTCATGTTGTTCTAGTTAGATGAAATTTATTCTATGCAAGGAGAAAAACTTGCATACATACAAACTTAAATTCTTATTGTTACAAACAATCAATAAGAAGATAGAAAATATTAATTTTATTTAAATTTTTTTTTAAATTGACATTATAGGTGGTTGTGATTATGAAGGAGAGAGAATATTTTATTTTTATTTTTTAATTAATAAAATAAATGGAATTGATTGTTTGTAAAACCAAGTGTCATGTTTATGTCTTTCAAATTTTTTTCCATATAGGTTAGAAAGAGGGTAAAGTGTTGGTAGAAAGAGGGTTTGGAGAAGGTGTATAGAGTTAAGGGGTTTTTTTGTTTGCGAAGGTAAAGTGTTGGTAGAAAGAGGGTTTGGAGAAGGTGTGGTGGGGTTTAATGGAGGTATAGTTTTTGATATGTAATTTAGGTATAGTTTTTTATATGTAATTTTTATAGAGGAAGATGGAGGACTTGCAGAGATAAGATAGAGAGTTTTGGAGAGGTTTCAGTGTAAGAGAAGTTTTTATGTGAGAATAATGAAAAAAATATGATTTTGATAGTTAAAGGTGAGTTAGGATATGGTTTTGAACATGGAATGAGATTTTGGGCCCACCATTCAAAGAGTAGGAAGGAGATTTATAGGTCGAACATATACTGATTGTTTAGTCAATTTTCTCAAATCTTTTTAATTTTGAATTTGTCTTTTTTGTCCTAAAGTTCCAAAATTATAAATACTTACTCATGTATAATTTATAACTTGATGATACCATAAAATTAACCTACATTTGCTCTTCATCTTCAACCACCAATCTATACATACACACTAGCATTACATTGTAATGATGTTCAGTTGAGGTTCCATCTAGACGAGGTTTGATAACGTCCGATTAAATTTTTGTGTAGCCGAAGATATTGGTTAAGATTTGTAGGGGTATTCATCCAGAAAAACCGCAGGTTTGTCTTCCAAGATCATTGGTTGATTTAGGGTTTTCGTGCAAGGCGTTTAAGAGGTGATTACGGTTAAGTGAAGTACTTTGGAGATAAAGAACACAAGGGATCATTTGGAGATAAAGAACACAAAGGGAGTAGCGCGAGAAAGGCAGATCACAGTGTCTTGTGTTTGTAATAGGTACAATTTGAAAGTTCAGACGTGAAAGCTTTCGAGATAAAGAATGTAAAGAAGTAGCAATATCGACAACTCAATTGGGATCTATTGTGTCTTGGTCTTTCTCAAGATCAAAAGAGGATAAGGGGTTGAATCAACAACAAACTTAGCGTTTGTGGAGTTTCTCTTGAACATTTTTCTTGTATCAACTTTTTGCATAGTAAGAATTATCCTAATTCCATTAGAATTAGGCGCAGACGTACCCACACACGAGGACGACGGTGGAGAATTGTGAAGACAAAACCTTGTGTCTCTTTTATTTTTGCTTTTACTTGTTTTAATATTCATTAATTAATTTTGTCAAATAGCATTGCGTTACAAATTAAATTGTAAGAAATGTTCCTAATTGTTTTTTATTTACATCAAATGTTGATATTTCTTATAACCACTTTTGATTATAAGCACTTTCATGTATCAACACAACTTAAAGGAAAATTCTGAATATTCACTTGCACACCAATTGTTTGACAAATTGATTATGTTTGTTCTTTTGAATATTGGTATTGGAAATAGTTTTACTAGTAACTTGATACAAACGATAAATAACGTGTTACTTGATATAAGTTTTATTAATACAATTTATCATATTCATTTCATTTGCTATTTGTTAATGTTGTACCCCAAAATTTTCCCTCTCATTTCTCAAAAGATTATCCTGGAACCTTAGGTCTGCTTCTGTCAAGTTTCGAGTTTTGGATTACAATTTTTTAAGAAAGTCATTCACAAGGGCAAATGGTCAAAAGCACACTGAAAAGTCAAACCTTGACTTTTTGATCAAAAATCAAGTTTTAACAATTATATTTCATCAGGACATGAAGTTGGTTCATCAAAAATCAGAAGTCAGAATTTGCTTTGAAAAAATCAAATTTTCTAAATATTTATAAAAAAATTTAAGTGTTAAGAGAATATGATACTTCAGAACTTCTGAGCCAGCCTCCACGCAAGTGCAGTCAAAATTTGCAAGCATGATTCAGAATATGATTCTTCAATCAGAACATGACTCTTCAACACATGCTTCGATCAGAGCCTCACCCTTCGAATCTCACTCTGGTCTTCTACGATCAGAACATCACCAAATTTCAAAACCTCGTTTGAGCAACCTACTGCACTGCTATAGCATAGTCCTGCCACCAGATGCCACGACACTCCGAGGTGCTGCTGATCCAGTCCACGCCTGCGTTTTTCTCAAACCCCATAATTGCACCAAATTAGCATACGAAAACTGTGTTTAAAAAGCAATGGAACAGTATGCCAAAAAGGTTTAAAATCCCATTTGTTTTTCCCCCCAAAACCACAACAAACTCATCTATAAATAAGTTGCTCCATCATACGTTCAAGGGGCTGGATTTTGGAGAGGGAGAGAATTATCTAAGAGAGAGAAAGGAAACAGTAAAAAAAACATTCGCAAAACCTAAACAAAACCTTTGTTCTTCCCTTTGAAAAAGAACATAATATTTTCTTTTCCTTTGCTCTCGCTGACTCCAGAACATCTGAAGGCAACAACTCAAGTTCCAAGCACACGCTCCAGATTTAAGGTAAGTCTTTCTGACTTTGCATCTTTTCATTCAGAATATCATTAATGTGTAAATATCATAGTATTTATGTTGACCATATCATTGCATAAGTAGAAGAAACTGTGGATCAGAACTTTTTTGAATAAAACTAGACTCTGAATTAGGATTAGAACTTCTATAAACTGTTGTGCTTTTTTATCTTTCTGATTTGCTATTTGTTAAGAACTGAATAAGTTGTTGATGTGCTGATTAATGTAAGGAAGGAGTTGAAATGCCACACAGAACTTCTGAATTCTCCTCACTGTTTTAACACACAGAACTTCTGAGTTCTCCTCACTGTTTTAATACACAGAACTTCTAAGACTTTCTCACTGCTCTAACACTCAGAAGTTCAACACGTAGCGACCCAGAACTTCCATATTTTCCCTCTAACGTTTCTTGCAGGACCTCAGAGTGTATCAATCCAAAACTTCTGATTTCCTCAGACGTTTCTTTTTAAACCATAACGCGCCCGACATCAGAACTTCTGATCCCCTTTGTTTTTCTTTCAGCAGCATGCTAATTCTATCTCTCATTATTTCTCTTTTTTATCATTTTCAATATTAATACCCTTTTTATTAATATAAAAGGACATAAAAATATTTTTCTTTTTATTAATTAATTAGTTAATTAATTTCTTTTTCTTAATTCATTAAGACAAAAAACCATTTTCTAAACAAGTCATTTTTCTTTCTTGCATTGTACATTTCAATATAGTTGTAATAGTTAATTAGGATTTAAATTCTTGCAACCCCCATTTGTAAATTTATACCCCCATCCCTAAATGATGTAATAGCGTAGGACCTTTATATTTCCGCAATTTATTGCTTTCAAACATAAATGCTAGTAATTAGGGTGTGTATGGAAAGACATAAAATCAACAAATAGATAACCCTAATCAAGACTAAATGCATGAAAATCAAACACACTTGCACACTAGCACCCTTAGGATAATCTCATTTTGTTGCCTATCGGAAAATAGTTATGTCCCTCAAATATGGGCATTTTAGCAAAGACCCTCGATAAAAGATCGTAGTCCCTCGATGACCCTTAACGTTGCCTTCGGTAAACGATCTAGTCCCTAAAACGACATTGCTAAAACGTCCCATAGGTTGCCTTCTATGACTATACAAATGTCTCACGCCCGTCCCTTCAAATCCAACGATGGGGCTTCTTACCAAAACAATGGTAAGATAGCAACACCTAAAGGAGGAGAAAAATAACATTAAAGACCCTTTGAGTAGGTAGATTTTCTCCTAGTTGCTCGCTTGCTCACAACAAAAACACTATACACCAACACTCTCATATTAAAACATTTTCAAAAGACAAACACTTTGTACGCGTTCTTATAGAAACGAGAATCATTACAAAGAAGACACATTTTCAAAATCACTTTCAAAAACACATTCCACAAACACACCTTTGAACTATTTTCGAAACAACACTTTGTACACGTTCTTATAGAAACGAGAACCATTACAAAGACATTTTCAAAATACTTTCAAAACTCACACCACAAGCACATTCAAACAAAAGCAAATGATCTAGCAAGCAACTAAGATCTCGTAGATAACTACAGATGAAAAGGGTGCTAATACCTTCCCCTTTCATAATCTATCC